GTTCCCGTCATTGTCTGCACAGTGAAAGAAAACCCGTCACAAATAATTATACATGCCACGTGCCTCTATACAAGCTTGTATCCAACAGCCTTGATAGCACCCCCTTTAAAGTCTCAGCAAATGTTCTTTGGTTTTTATCATGAAACTGTTTACATGATGAGTTACTTGGGTGTGTTCACAAATTACTATTGTCATTTATTAATAGTACTCGCATGTAGCTCTCCTCGACAATGGATCGTGACCTTCTATTATATTAAATTGATGTAAAACTTTAGATGTGAATATAGCTGTGATAAAGGCCACGGTCCTTTCCATGTTACCTTTTTAGCAAATAACATTTGCATTACAATATAATTAAAACATGGGGCAGAATACACTGCAATTTTCCTTATTTATTATTATAGATTGTTATAGTATTTTTTTTTATATTTTTTAAAAATTATTCATGTTAATTTTATTTTTTTTAAATATTAACCAAGTTAAAAATTTAGTTTTATAATTTTTTTAAAACATTATAAATTGATATAGTGTTTCCCCCATGTAGTTTTTTTATGATTTTTTTCAAAGTTATCTATTGATTTTATTTTTTAATTTTTGAGTTAGTGGAGAATTATAACTATAGTTTTTTTTACAAAACATTATGGATTGCTACAGTGTTTTTTCACATTGTTTTTTTTTTTTTTGTTTTTTATGATTTTTTTAAAATTATATTTGTCAATTTTATTTTTTTAATATTGAGTTAGTTGAGAATTTAACTCTATAATTTTTTCTTTAAAATATTATGGATTACTGTGGTGTTTTCCCACATGGTTTTCTTTGTTTTTTATTTTTTATGATTTTTTTTTAAATTATCTTTGTCGATTTTATTTTTTAATATTAAACTGATTGAGAATTACAAGTATAGTATATGGGGAAATCACTATAACTTTCTTCATGAATTGCTATATATTTTCCTCGCGTGGTTTTTTTCTCTAAAATTATATTTGTCAATTTTATTTTTTTAATATAAACTAATTGAGAATTATAATTACAAGTAAGGTTAAATCATGCTGGGAAAACATTGTAGTTTTTTTCACAAAACACTATGAATTGCTATGATGTTTTTTCTCATGTTTGTTTTCCTTTTTTTGTGTTTTCTTTTTTGTTATAATTCTTTCTAAAATTATCTTTGTTAATCTTATTATTTTGATATTGTATTAGTTGAGAATTTAGTTTTGTAATTTTTTTAAAAAATATTGTGGGTTGTTATAATATCTCAACAAATTATTTTTTTATTGTGATTTTTTAAAAATTATCCTTATCAATTTTATTTTTTAATATTAAGTTGGTTGAGAATTACAATTACAAATAAGGTTAAATCATGTGGGGAAATATTGTAACTTTCTTTGCAAAACACTATGCATTATTAGAATGTTTCCAGCATGTTTTTTTTTTTAAATTATCTTTGTCATTTTTTTTTATACCGAGCTGGTTGAGAATTTAGTTTTATAATTTTTTCTTTGAAACATTGTAGATTATTGTAGTGTTTCCCCACGTGATTTTTTTATTATAATTTTTTTAAAAAAAATTAGTCAATTTTATTTTTTTAATATTGAATTAGTTGAGAATTATAATTTTAATAAAGCTAAATCATATAAGGAAAGTATTGTAGTTTTCCTCACAAAATATTATAAATTGTCACAGTATCTTTTCTCATGGTTTTTTTTTCAAAGTTATCTTTATTGATTTTGTTTAATATTTAGCTGATAAAGAAGTTACTTTGTATTTTTTTAATTAACAAAAAAGTTAAATCATACAGTTATATACTAAATCATGTTGGAAAAACACTGTATTTTTCCTCTCAGAACACAGTGCACTGCAAAAAAATATTTTATTAAATCTCTAAGTTTTTTTTATCACCAACATAACTTCTTTTCTGTTATAGAATATTGGCTCTATCACACCTTCGATTTCTATTATTTATCTAGTATTGATATATAATTATAATACCTTCAAGTATATTTATTTTATAAACCCGTAACAACACGCTGGAATACCATCTAGTGAATAACTAGAACAAATTAGTCTTTATTTGAGTAGCATCATCATTTGTTGGAGGAATATTATCATTTGATGGAGGAGTACTTGGTTGATCAACATTGATTTTCCTAAGAACTTTCACTCTTTATCTAAAACAATAAAATTTAATCAATTTTAGTTAAATACTTTTACAAAAAGATGTAATAATTACTACTTTAGAGCAAAGTCTAAGTTTATTAATTTGGCAGAAAATGAAAAAAAAAAGAAAAAGAAAAGAGAGAGCAATCATAAGCATGAAGAAAATTACGAACAAACATTGTTTGATATGATATGCACAACCTAAAGGTTTACTAATGTTATTTATTTGATAGCAAATTCAATTTGCACCAGGCTATTCACAAATAAGAAAGAGGTTAAGATGAGATTCACATATTTTTTTTTTACAAGTAACTTTAACCCAATACAAAAAATATATTATTTGAAGGTAACAAGCGATGAATGAAGAAAATAAAGTGAAATCATAAAGAGCCTAGCTTAAAAAACAACAATCAAACATCAAATCAAAATTTTTAAAAATTGTATCAACATATAGAGAAATAATAAAGGGATAAAATGACACATACTAAAACAATTAAAAACACACACACACATATATATATATATATATGTGTGTGTGTGTTTTTAATTGTTTTAGTATGTGTCATTTTATCCCTTTATTATTTCTCTATATGTTGATAAAATTTTTAAAAATTGTATCAACATATAGAGAAATAATAAAGGGATAAAATGACATGTTAAAATAAAAAAACTAAATAATAAAGAGAGATATTTGACCTAAGAAAGGGTTCACAATTAAGGTTTTAATATTTTGTTTGAAGGTGTGAATGATCAGAGTAGAGTAGGATGAATGTTAATTTATCATAATCAAGTTAGGGTTTTTGATTATGTAAATCTTTGACAACTTTAAAGTTTTTGCTTTTGTTTTGTGGATGGAGCATGAAATATATTTTTAAGACGACAACGTCGGTGTGTGTTTATAAAAATATCTCTTGACTTCTTAAAATTAAATCTCTTCTAAACCATTAATTGTATAATTTGAGGGCGTGCTATTAAAATCATCTTGAAAGAAAATTATTTTGGTTAATATAAGATGATTTGAAAATATTTTTTATAATAAAAATATTATTAAAATTTTGCAATATCTTGATTCAGCTATGTATAACCAAGCATGATTACAATTTTTGCTTGATCTTTCCTTGAGTTGCTCTGGTGGATAACATTAATTTCGTGTTTTCAAATTCTCAACAGCATCTTTAGAGCATGGATTCACGAAAAAAAAAAAAAAATCAAAATTAAAACCTAGGAAAATATTACAATCACATGAATTCATCACAACGACAAACTTGTTAAGGGTACTTGTTTAAGAACACAAGAAGGGAACTGGTAACTTATAAGAGGCTGTTTGACAAACATATTTGTACATGTATCCAAGTATGTTTTAAGAATATATTTGTATTAAAAAAATATTAAATTCATATATTTTTTAATGTGTTGTTATTAATAACTGAAAAATAGTATTTTAATATATTTTCAAATAAAAAAATATTTATGAAAAACATCTTCCATCATAATACTAAACAAATGTTAAAGCTAAACAAACATTTCATTTGTTTTTAGCATGTGTAAGATTAAGGTATAGTTTGATTTTTTTTGCAGGACCTGTAAAAAATACAATAAAAAAACATATATTTATAGTTTTTTGTTTAAAAATATATCAATTTTTTTGAAAAAGATTATATTTATTATCAACATACTAAAACAATTAAAAACACACACACACACACACATATATATATATATATATGTATGGATGTATGTATGTATATATTTATATATTTTAAAAAAACAAGTTACCGCCGCAGAAATACAAACTTTCCTTCTTCCCCTTTCTCTACTAGAATCGTCACAGCTTGCGTATGTTTCCCTGACCCTAATAAATAATAATAAATATCTTGGGAAATTAGCAAATAAATATTAATAACGCTCACTATTGCGGGCCCAAGCACGAAAAAGACAAGCATCAAAGAAATACAAGCAACAGAATCAAAGGCCCAATCAGCCCGAAACCATGGAGTGCACGCTTGTTTGGAGAACTGAATTAGCCGAGCATTAATAATGACCACCTTCACTCAACAAAAGCCAAAATGTCAATTTATTACGATGGAGTGGATTGCGATCTAGGCAAGGAGGGCGTAGCTTCTATTTTTAAATATTTTATTCAATTTTAAAAATATTTTCTAGTTTTTTTTTAATAATTTTAAGATTAAAAATAAAAAAATACTTTTAAAAAATACATTCTACCACAAATTACAAATTCACGCATAGAAACTTGTGATATCAAGCATGATTTAATTGAATTTTAAATTAAAAAAAAAACTATTTACATGATTAAACTTAATTGATTAGATAATTTCAATTCATGGTTTGATAAATTCAGTAAGTCAATTCTAAGAACTTCTTTAAAAAAACAAAAAGATCATGTTAAAAAGGTTATTCATTCAAAAATTGATTCAATAATTTAGTGAGCAAAATATTTTTTAAATTGAGGGACGTATGTTATGGTGTAAATTTTACCATAATTATAAATTAAAAATATTTAATTAACCATTATAAATAATGAATCTGTTTAAAATTTTAATTTGAAATTTTACTTAAAATAGACAATTATAAGTATAAGGTGATACAGCTATTATTTTTTAAAATATTTTTATTAACAAATATATTAAAATAATCTAAAATTATATATAAAAATAATTTCATACAATTTTTTATTTTTTGTTTCATTAAACGCCATTCAAACGGCGCCTAGCAGCTATATGTATATATCTGTTTCTTAATCCGTCAACTTGCTCACGTAACTATACGTGTCACGTTCACAGTGGTAATCACCACACAATATTCCGGGAACACCTCCGCTTACAAATATCTCCTACCCTTCAAGTTCCCACTGCAGACATTGCTGTCCCAAGTCCAAACCATGGAACGCTTTCCTCTGCTCTTTCTCCTCGTCCTGACAGCCTTATCCCCCACCCTCGCATCCACAGTATCTTCCAGCGATCTCGACGATCCTTTAATCAGGCAGGTCGTATCAGACGGCGAGGATCATCTCCTCAACGCAGAGCATCATTTCACCACTTTCAAGTCCAAATTCGGCAAAAACTATGCGACTCAAGAGGAACATGATTTCCGATTCAGTGTTTTCAAAGATAATCTCCTCCTTGCCAAGAAACACCAGATGATGGACCCTACCGCTGCCCATGGAGTCACTAAATTCTCTGATCTTACTCCCAGAGATTCCCCCCGCCAGTTCCTTGGATTGAAGCGGCGGCTTCGGTTGCCGACGGATGCTAACAAGGCGCCGATCCTTCCTACTGGCGATCTTCCTACTAATTTTGACTGGCGTGACCAAGGCGCCGTTACTAAAGTCAAAGACCAGGTATCTTAATATCCTTTTTCCTGGCTTTTACAGTCAAGCATCATCGGACCAGTTTTCATGTCTGTTGAGTTTTTCGACATTTTCTATAATTATTGTTGTGTTATGTGTTAAAATATTGGGTTTTCGACAGGGATCGTGTGGATCGTGCTGGTCGTTTAGTGCTACAGGTGCATTGGAAGGAGCTCATTACTTAGCAACAGGCGAGCTTGTAAGCTTGAGTGAGCAACAGCTTGTGGATTGTGATCACGAGGTTTGACTTCGTTATTTTCATGCTCTCGATTCAGTTTTTCTTTCATTTATAACTAATATTAATTTATGGATTATTAACAGTAGTGATTCTTGTAGTCGTACATGGTCTGGGAATTTGTCAAGTGCCTGGAAGACTACGAGGGTTTTGATTTTTTTACATGAAAAATGGATTTTCTTTTTTTTTTAAAAAAAGCTTATTCATTTTCTATCAAAGGAGATACGAAAATTTAGTTACTGTGCTATGATTCCTCGTTATGGTGTCCTCTTGGAACCGTTACAGTGTGATCCAGAAGAATATGGTGCCTGTGACTCGGGCTGCAGTGGTGGGCTGATGAACAATGCCTTCGAGTACGCACTGAAGGCCGGTGGTCTTGAACGTGAGGAGGACTATCCTTATACCGGAAATGATCGTGGTGCTTGCAAATTTGACAAGAGCAAAGTCGCTGCATCCGTATCTAACTTCAGTGTTGTTTCCCTAGATGAAGATCAAATTGCTGCCAACCTGGTGAAGCATGGTCCTCTCTCAGGTATTTAGCTACTTCTGGCTGTGGTCTAGGCATTGGCATCTGTTCTCTCAACAACTCCTGTTAAGATTTGTATCTCGCCTATTTTTATCGTGGGAGGGCTAATTATAAGGTTTTTTCTGCTTTCCACGGTGCAGTGGCTATCAATGCAGTTTTTATGCAGACATACATAGGTGGAGTTTCATGCCCCTACATTTGCTCAAAGCACCAGGATCATGGGGTGCTGCTGGTGGGGTATGGAGCTGCTGGTTATGCTCCTATCCGGTTCAAGGAAAAGCCTTTCTGGATTATCAAGAACTCATGGGGAGAGAATTGGGGAGAGAATGGGTATTACAAGATCTGCAGGGCTCGCAACATATGTGGTGTGGATTCCATGGTTTCAACTGTTGCTGCTATTCATGCTACTGCCCAGTAGATTGTTGTGCCCTTTTAGCACATTGAATTAGAACAACACTGTTTTTAGACGGTGCTGCTTTTGTCATATGAAGTGTGTATTGTAATCCATGTAAATGACTAGAATAATATAAGCCCCCCACCCCCCCCGCCAAAAAAAATATATATATATGTATCTGGCAAAAGCTGCAATGATGTAGGTGGTGTTCCGTGTTCGTAATTTCATCAATTTATGCGAGGATTTACTGTTTAATGGTTGTGCATGGCTCAATCTTCTTGCCACTGATGATCAACAACGTAATTTTTTGGGCTGGCCTTTTAAGTTGATTCAGATAATTTGGACCAATGCGTTCTCATGTGTCGATGACCTCCATTGTTTCCTGCAATTGATTTTAACCAGAAGCGTGTCGTGGGCACATAACGTGAGGATTTGAAGCTTCAGAAAACATGATCTGATCCCAGTCCACCACAGACACAAGTACTGAAATCTAATAATATGCCAAGTGACAAACGTACAAACAAGCGCATTTTAGCGATCGGAGAGGTTGATTGTCTCGATAAATATAGAAATCTGATCACAATTGGTTCCGGCTCCTCATCTACAAAGTGAGTTCACTGTCAATTGTCAACACTGTTTGATTTCTTATACTCACTGGACAATATTGCACAGCAGTACCCTAACAATCACTGGTGAAGAATACAATAAACTAACGGCAAAATTCTAGAAGCTTGTACATCCACCGAAATCTCGGTTCAGCTTCTTATTTGCTAACTGGCAAAATTCTAGAAGCTTCACATATTGTTTTTCCCCTGTAGTTTCCCTTGAACCTCAACAATCAACGTTCAGGGAATAGGCAGCCTCGCCTGCCAGACTTGTTTCAGCAACCACAAACACGGTGGAAATTGGTTGTTCCTGACGAAAAGGTTCTTCTTCCGAACTTGGAATCACTTCCCCCGTTGGCTTTCTTCAACTCTTTGATCATATTCAAAAGAATCGCAAGTTTGCTATATATACTTCAATGTGTGATAAATTCAATTGCCTATCTATGCCCTCGACTGCTCTATCCAGTAAACATATCATTCATCATCTTGACCAAGCGAAGCAAACGAAAATGGATAGAATTTGTATCCATCTCCCACGTAAAATTTGTTTTGAAACTCCACCCAGTGAAGCCTCAAGGCATGTAGGAATGCACTTAAGGTTTCCATCACTAGGAGGACACCGACAGTTGCAAATATAAATACACACAATCCAATACCGCGAGCAATGATGCTGTTGTACCTGCAGTCATTCACAGACAATTCATTATTTTGCTTGATCAAATCTGAGAGATATTAATTCACTTCCATCAAAAGCCAAAACATGGTCATGAGAGCTCACCCCCATGCTAGAAGAAGGACCTTGTCATAGAATACACTCGATAGTTCTGAATGAGCCAGACTGAAAATCACAGGAAAAAAAAAAAACTCATTCAAATTAAACAGTTAACTTGCTGTACTCGGAATGAAAAAAGCACCCCGCATTCATGTTAAACAAGAGAGGTGTGCCAGGAAGGCATATAAACATAAGATCTTTACAATCCAATCAATATAACTCTGCATTCAGACAGGTAAAAGAGAGATTATACAATATATTAAAAGGGATCGGTGCTCCTGTTATTGTTTACATAAACACAAAGCACTGTATAGTACAGCAGTGTGATGGTAGAGTTACCCTTGCTACCGAGAATTGAAAAGATTGTAGGGGGAACGTGGGGTTATCTTTTCACTAGGATGTATATGGCATTGAAGAGATGGTTGAAAAAAAAACAATCAACTCTAGTTTTGGTGGCTGCAGGTCCTAGACTGCAGACGCTTGGCATTGTGGCTTGCACCAGGCTATAGACATATGGTGCTAAGGCTGCCTTTGACGCTAGCTGTAGCCTTGGGTCCTATGTATTGGGTTTGTTGTCAAGATCCATTTTGCTTGGGTTTGGTATCCGGACCCAATCCTTTTAGGTCCTTTGTCAAGTCCCAAGGTTCTTGGATCTTGGGTCTATTAATATTTTGTTTATAAATCAAAGTATTTATATAAAAAATATAATTATTTGTGTTATAAATATTATTATTTTTACTGGGATCTCCAGACATAGAACCAATTGGCCTTGAGTCTTGATGTCGGACCCAATTCTGTCGGGTCCGACATCAAGACCCAATGCTCATGGGTCCTGCATCAGAATCCATTTTGCTTGGGTTCTCACCAGGACGCATTGCTCTTGGGTCCTAAGTTTCTTAATATAATTATGTGTTATAACTATTATTATTTTTATTATAATTTTCTGGGGCACTCCAATTGCAGAACCAATTGACTTTGGGTCCTATGTCTAGACTCAATTCTACTGAGTCCGGCATCAAAACCTAATGCTCTTGGGTCCTTCGTGAACCATTTCACTTGGGTTCTCACTAGGACCCATCATCTCGGGTCATTTGTCAGGATGCAATGTTCTTGGGTCTTAGGTTTCTAAATATAATTATTTGTGTTATCAATATTATTATGTTTATTATAAATGAAAGTATTAATATTAAAAACAGTATTATTTATGTTATAAATATTATTATTTTTATTATAATTCATATTATTAATAAAATAATTAATAGATTTGAAAAAATATTATTATTATTAAAAAATACTACTATTACTATTGAAGAAAAGCCATCACTTTTTTAAGAGATTAAAAAATATAAGAATTTGGGCAAACAAGTTAAAAATTATTATCAATAATATAAATATTATTGTCAGGTATGGTGTTGCAGCCAAACTCGACGCTCTTGGATCCGACGCTGCAACTAGATCAACACTCATGAATCTTAGATTTTTTTTATATTTTTTATGAAAATAAAAGGTTAGCCCACGGTGTCGGGCCACCTAACTAGTGACAACTACATTCTGACGAGCAATCACAAACAAGCACTCAAATAAGGGTGGGAATTTATTTAGCTTGAAAATATAGATCTCAAGTAATTACTAGAAGAACCAACCTGAGGGCCCATAAACGTAAATATGAAGCCGTATTTGACACTGCTCCAAGCACAAACTCTATGGTATGTATAAGTTGGTGAACAAACACCTCGCTGAACTCAAATTCCTCATGGTTATGGGAAACAGAATGCGGCTCAATTTCAGGAGGGTAGTCATTGCTGTCCAGCCGTGCATAGGACTGACCTTGGAACCTCTGAACAATGCATTTAGGAATGTTAGAGGTTAACAATTATTTTTACAAATGAGCAGTAACAATGAATGTATTTGGGGAAAAAATGAGCATACTTCCTCATGTCGCTTCTTCAACAGAAAAGGCTTTGGAAACATCATCCAAGGGACAGCAGCAAGGGCAGATAGGAGCAACAAGATCTGATGGTGAAACATGTTAGCTGGCTTCATTTTCTTAAACCACAAGGGAGAATTTCCACACAATCACTATAAAAGTTATTATACCTGAAAAAATTTCTGGCCGATAAAAAGCTGATTGTCATCCAAATCATCAGTGGGACTTAGAAACATGTATATCATCACATGGTATAGATCAGCTTGTGAACCGGTGCACCACTTCACAATTATGAGGAGTGAAAGGTAACCAAACAAGCTGTTTAAGAAAATCATCTGGGGCACGAATTGGTACCTAAAACAATGCAACTGTCGCTAGTTAATTCTGAAAATGAAAATAAGAAAAAGAAGAAACAAGCAGTGAAAAGCAACAGATATATATATATAAATGCTTCCAAGGTCCCATCTCTCCACTGTAGCAGATAAGGACAGTCATGTTTATAAGATTAAATACTCTAAAAATTTAACTTAAAACCATCAGTATGCTGTTATTCCATAAGGGCATGCTGTAACATAATATTTGAAACAATGCATTGCATGCAGGAATAAAGTATATAGCTCACCAGATGTTTATATTATCTCCAAAGAACTTTGCATTGAAGTAGCTCATTATAATCCCAAGATTCATCTGGGCCACTCCAAATAAAATTGACATCTTCATCTTCATTGAGTTGAGAAAAGGTAACTCGCTCCGGGTACCATGCCATTTGGGATCCAAACCAAATGGATACGTTGCGTGGACCTTAACTAGACCAGCAGTATAAGCATCCCTACAATGCAAATAGAGCATATAAATCATTTACAAGTAAAGTTGAACCACTCGTGCACATGTAAAGTTGTACTGGTTAATACCTGCAAGACTGGTCACGACAGCCATAAGCAGAGGGCCCAAACAGTTCAAATGGAACTGAAAAGAATTCATTGTATATCAACCCCGTGTAGATTGAAAAAATTCCCATCATCATTATCACATAACGACCACCAAAAGCCATTTCCATAATGTCTCCAAGCTTCTGTTGTTTACAAAAGGAAGTAAGCCAAAGCATGAAACAATTAAAAGGAAGACAGTGCTTGCTAAGACAAACCAACGAGCTGTATCACAATTACCTGACTGGAAAGTTTCTTTTCCCTGATAATAAGATATAATGTTGCCAACAGCAAGCAAATACCATGGCCCCAATCACCAAACATTACAGCAAAAAGGAAAGGGAATGTGACAATTGTGTATACACTAGGATTTGCTTCCTGGTACTTGGCAACCCTGAAAAATGATGTTGTAAGCTAACACCTCTATTTCATCTTTGAAATAGTCAACACGAACAGTCAATGGGGCAAATTAAATGATGCATGGATTACAGGTTGTGGAATGGGAGGAATGTCTAAGCCAAATGTATCCACTCATTATGCAACATGCAAGGACAAGAGAAGACCTATCCCTAAACTGTTTGCACATATAAATTGACCAGCATTGAATTAGCGGGACTGACATCCTGCAAAGATAGATAATATCAACTAAATATACTTTGGTCAACCACTAACTTTACATATCACCTGGAACATACTAACAACAATCAGACACTAGTTTTCTATCTCTCAAACGCCATAATTTCTGTGTTCGAACAAATAATTAATTACTTAAAGAAACTGTAAGTTTTGCCAATGCCTAACATGGTTGTCACATACTGGTATTACCAGTCCGATCTTAAAGGCATCTGAAAACTTCTAAAGTTATGTTAGAACCATACAGCCAATTATCCTTCCAAAAATTACTCTAAAAAATTTCAGACTCTTTGTATTGTTTGCATGGCACAAGTAACTCACCCGTACGCATCTACAATTTCTTGAAAAGCAAGAGTAAATTTGTTTGTTTGGAAAAAGGTAGGTGGTGATTCCTTT